AGGATGGCAGAGCAGAAGAACAGAAGGCACCTGGGTTCTTTATAACATTTTTCAGCAGCAGAAACAGTACCAGTGATTGCCTTGTCTGGCTGGCTTGTCATTTGAGGACAGATAACTATTTGTTTAAGGAACGAGCTCAGTTTTCTGTTACTGGCAACTAAAAGCAATTCTAAATGACACTGATATGGAAGGGAGGCAGGGAAATGTTGGTAGGAGAAGGGCGGGTCCCTGGCGAGGGCTCCACCCCCAGGCCTGTGCCCAGGGAATCCACTCCTGCCTTCGCATCCAAATGTTGCATTTCCCAAGGCCACCCTGGCCTGCCATCCTGTGTCTATAAAAAACCCGAGACCCTAGCAGGCAGACACACAAGCGACTGGACGTCCAGAGGACATCGAGGAGAGCATGCCAGCAGAAGGGCACACCAACAGACACAGGCAGGTTGTCAGGCCTTCAACGGACAGAACAATGCGGGGACAGAACAATGTGGAGTTTGGCCGGGGCGGTTGCAGGAGAGCCTGAGCCACTGAGCGCCTGACTCCAGGGGAATACCATCTCCCTCTGGCTCCCCCATCTGCTGAGAGCTACTTCCACTCAATACAACCTTGCACTCATTCTCCAAGCTCAGTGTGATCTGATTCTTCTGGTACATACACCAAGGCAAGAAACCCTGGGATGCAGAAAGCCCTCCATCGTCGTAATAAGGAAGGGGGTCTAACTGAGCTAACACAAGCCACCTAATGGCCAGCTAAGCTATAAGAACACCCTGTAACACAAACCCACTGGGGCTTCAGGAGCTGTAAACGTTCACCCCTAGACACGGCCGTGGGGTCAGAGCCCCAGAGCCTGCCCGTCTGCATGCTCCCCTAGAGGTTGGAGCAGCAGGGCACCGAAGAAGCGAATCAGTCCCCCATTGCACGCCCTGCGAGGGGAACAAGGGAAGTTTTCCCATTTCAATGTGTTACTCCTAGCCTTAATTTCCGGAATTTTATTTTTCAAAGCTTTAAAATGCAGTGTTGGTTAATCGGATTAAATTCACTTGTATTTCATTTCTATTCTATTATGATTCATAATAAATGTCTTAAATGGTGGGCTGATCTCACCTTTACTTTGAGATGGTGCTCTCAATTCAGGGAGGGTCCAGAGGGTAGAAAACTATAGCCCATGGCCAAATCCTGCCAGCATAAGCAGGGGGAACTGAGAAAGGCGTTTTTTTTGTTTTTTTGTTTTGTTTTTTTTTTTTTGGTTTTGTTTTGTTTTGTTTTGTTTTTAAGGATTTTTAAAGAATTGTTAAAAAATGAAAACAGGCTGGATGCGGTGGCTCACGCCTATAATCCCAGCATTTTGGAAGGCCAAGGTGGGTGGATCACTTGAGGTGAGGAGTTCAAGATCCGCCTGGCCAACTTGGTGAAATCCTGTCTCCATTAAAAACACAAAAAATTATCTGGGCATGGTGGCGGGTGCCTGTAATTCCATCTACTCAGGAGGCTGAGTTAGGAGAATCGCTTGAATCCAGGGGGCAGAAGTTGAAGTGAGCTGAGATTGTGCCACTGTACTCCAGCCTAGGCAACAGAGACTCCATCCCAAAAAATTAAAAAAATAAAAATAAAAAAATAAAAACAAAGAATATTTGGCCACAAAGCTGAAAATATTTATTATCTGGTCCTTTATAGTAAAATCTTGCTGATCCCAGTACTAGTCACAAAGAGGACTCGCCTCTCATGAAGTTCAGACTAAGGTTTTACTAAGGAAACAGGTCAGCATTTCATACCTTTGAAAAATTATTATAGATCACCATGTAAAGTGTTTGGCACAGGTGAAGATGAATTATATCTTCAAATAAAAATTCCTTTTCAGCTCAACATTTATTAAATTTCTAGTATTACAAGACTATGGAAGACATTATGGTTACATAAATAAAACAAGGTCTCAGTGTACCTGAAAATCTTTTGGGGAATCATCTTTCTTAGAAGAAAAGGTCTATGCAGTATTCCAAGAAAAGATAAGGGTCTGTATACAAAGGATGGCACACAAAATTTTATATGTATTCACCTTTTTCTAGAGATATTGAGACAGGGATGGACAGCAGGTAGTGGGAAATGTAGGCTTGTAAATCAGGAGCAAAAGATAAATGAATAATCACTTAACAGCTCATCTCTGTTCAGTGTTTTATTAATTATCACATAAATCTCAACAAAATAAATGCTGTTTTGTAGTTTTGATTTCAGGTCATACTTCAATGCCCCCACATTCTTTTCACTAAACCACTCTGGTTTCTAATGGGAAGTGTTAATCAAGTTTAGCCTAACGCTGCCTCCTTACATATTTAAGTTCAGCCTAAAGGTTTTTCTGTACACTGTGAACAAGTGGAGGAGTAAACTGATCATATCCCATACCTGTGCCAATCACTGAGTTTTGGCCAATCAAATGTAGCCAACTGTTTGAACAGTGTTCAAATAAGGCAAACGCCAACCTGTAACCAATAACAGCTGTTTCTGTACCTCACTTCCGATTTCTGTACGTCATTTCCTCTTTTTTTTTTTTTTTTTTGGTCTATAAATCTTCTTCCACCACATGGCTCTGCTGGAGTCTCTCCAAATCTGCTGTGATTCTGGGGGCTGCCCAATTTGCAAATTGTCCATTGCTCAATTAAACTCCTTTAAATTTAATTTGGCTTAAGTTTTTCTTTTAACAGAAGCCAGGGCTGAAGATAAAGATTAGGGAATGATTCACAAATCTCTTTATAACTCTGGGGAGGGCAGACAGGAAGAGACTAGAATAACAGAAAAGAGTCAAACACAAAATCTGAGGGATTGCCTATATTTAATTACGGACAGAGGGAGAGAAGCTAGTGGAAAATTCTGAAAGTAAGTGATCAGATTGTATAAAGAGAATTAAAAGAGAGGCATAGAAAAAAAGCTTTAAAAGCTTCACCACCTTAAGTCACGACAAATACTGAGATGAAGTAATTGAATTTGACCAGTAAGAGATAAGAGGATATTTTACACCGTTATCTAGTTTGGTAAACACCAGCCACTTGTGGCTACTGAAGTTTAATTGAAACTAAAATTTAAACATTCAAAATTCATTTCCTTAGTCATACTAGCCACATTTGAAATTCTCAAAAGCCACACATTAACTAGTGTCTGTTATGTTGGACAGCTCAAACTATAAAATATTTCCATCATTGCAGAAAGCTCTCTGGGGATGTGTTTTTGAAAGCATCCAGTAATGCAGAAGCAGAATTGCAATGGGGAGATTTCCTGTGTGTTCTCTAACACCCATGTAGCTTGCAATGTCTGGTGGATTTGACCTCTCCAGCTTGCATTTGCCTCCTCATTTTTACTATTAAGTTTTAGTCTCACCCTTTCTTTCCTAGGCTATTGCCATGCTTGCCTATCTGCCTCTTCTGTTCTTTCATCCTTGTAACCTATTATCCACACAAATCATTCTGCCACTCAACAACACTCTTTTTTCACTGCCACTTTTCCTGGCCAGCCAGTTATTTCATTGATAGTCCACTGTGGTGCCCTGCAGATAGGAGGCATTGTATCAACAACATGGGAAGGTGATTCCTCTCCCCCTACACCTTTCCCTCCCTGCACTCACATAGCTCATAAGCCAATGCAGGTAGAATAATTATGGTATATCTACATAACAAATAACAGAACAGGAACAACTGCTAATCATCACCCTCTCCTTTGTCTTTTACTTCTAATCTGTTACCAACTCTTTTTTTCTTTCCCTCTGCCACTACTGGGCTTGTTAATATTTTGTTACTTTTTACTTCAACAGTCATCTTCTAGTCTCTCCTCCCACTTACCACAAGAAGCTCTGGTCATATCACTTCATTTCTCTAACCTTCCTCCCCGCAACTCCCACTCTGTAGGCCTACAGAATTCTGTCTTGCTTCCTTCATCATTTTTCCATACATCTTTCTATTACTCCGTGGTACTCACCATCCCCCGGCACATTCATGCATATTCACCTCCTTCCCTCCCACCCATGCAATGTCATCTTTCAGACCCCAGAATCCTCTCCCATATCTCTGTGAACCCTGAATATCTGAGACAGCTCTCCGTCAATTTAGGAAGTTTATTTTTCCAAAGTTAAGGACGCCCTCCCGTTGACACAGCCTCGGGAGGTCCTGATGACATGTGTCCAAGGTGGGTGGAGCACAGCTTGGTCTTACATATATTCAATCAATATATGTAAGATGAACGTTGGTTCGGTCCAGAAAGGAGGGACAAATCGAAGCAAAGGTGGGCCAACTCGAAGTGGGGAGGGGGCTTCCAGGTCATAGGTATTATAGCTAAGAGATAAATGGTTGCATTCTTTTGAGTTTCTGATGAGCCCTTCCAAAGGAGGCAATCAGAAATGCATTTATCTCAGTGAGCAAAGGGATAAATCAGACGGATGACTTTAAATAGAACGGGAGGCAGGTTTGCCCAAGCAGTTCCTAGCTTGACTTTTCCCTTTAGCTTAGTGATTTTGTGGCATCAAGATTTATATTCCTTTCACACCTCTAATAAGATTCAGGAGGAAACACATACACGAAGAATCCAAGGTGCCAGGGATCATTATTGAAGGACCGAAGGGCCCAAACCTGTTTGACCTTGTCCATTTGGAGAGCAACAGATAAAAATATAGCTGCACTACCAGTTATTACTAATCCCCCCAAAAAGACAACTGAATTTTCAGTGTAACAGAGAGCACTTTACAAACACAGTTGGTCGAGAAACTGTCACTCCCCGGCTCTGGGAGGCGAAGAGGACTGTGGGAGCCTGTTCGTTCTCCCGCTGGCTCATGGGAAATGTAGTCCAGTTTTCTCCAACATGGCCGCGCCCATGGGAGGTGGCGTGCAAGTATCCGCTGCGGCTTTCTGGTGCTAGAGTGGAGGCTGGCAAAGAAGAAGGCACTCGCATGGTGAGAACCCGGCCTGAGCCGAAGCGGAGGTGTGTGGCACTTCTTGCTGGCGGGCATACGGGCTGCAAATCCCCGCTTCCTCTTTTCGGCCTCTTCCGGTCTTCTCTAGCTGCTTTGCCAGCTAGGGCTGAGAACCTAGGGAAAGGGGATGGATCCCAGAGGCGCCCTTGGTGCAGTGTGGGCAGTAGGGTGTCTGCGTTGGGTGACTCTGTCAGTGTTTAGGGTGCACGTGTTTGTGTTTGGTTCGGGTGCTCACGTGGTGTCTGTGTCAATCTTCTGTTTTCTTTGGGGTTGGAGAGGACGGTTGCCACATGAGGCGTGTTAGTTTGGCGCTTCTAGGGCTTTTTCTGACCGGTGACAATCTAGTGATGCAAAGGCAGTGCTGATGATCTGATCCCTTGCGCAGCTGAGTCTTCCCGTGCTCTTATTTGAGCAATCCCCGCGACTCCTGGGCCTCTGGTAGCGTCAGCCTGTTATTTTGATTGATTTCACTGAATATTTATTGTCAGTTGTATCTCAGGCACCAAGTCTGTACTCTCAAATAGATGACAGTTTTGTGGCGGAAGTCCAACACAGATAGGCAATTATAATACAATGTGAGAACTCTAGAAATAGAGATCCATGCTAGGTGTTAATGAAAACGTTGAAGAAGGCCACCAAACTCGGAATTCTGGAGGAGGGGAGGTTTAGGAGCCAAGACAGCAAAGTCGATTTAGGTTTATTTGACAAATGTTTATTGAGTGACTGCTAGGTGCTAAATCCTGTTTAAGTGCTGGGTGCTACAGGGTGAACAATAGAGACAAAATCTCTACTTCATGGAGTGAGTGTGCTTTATTAAGTTATGGGGAAAGACAGAATAAACAAATTAATGAGAGTGTAAGAAAACATGCAGTAAGTGTTAATCAAAGAGTTAGAACGGGGTGCCGTGACAAGTGATGGGGTGAATTTTTTTCTAATCATTTTAAATCTTTATTTTCTTTTTAAACAGGTAATACAGTTTAAATAGCTATTAACTTCAAAAGTCATGAAAGAAGAAAGCTCCCTTTCATTCCATTACTCATGGATCCATTTTCCTTCCCTGGAGGCAACCCATATCACCAATTTCTTGTGTATTCCAAAGATTTCTATGTAAACTCTGTATACCGGTGCCCTACTTTAAAATTGGGCCTCACTTGATAGGAAGTTAGATTCTAATCTTTGCTATTAATTATTAGGTTGTCGCAAAAGTAATCGCAGTTTTTGCATTTTTTTTTTTTTAACATACAAGTATAGGAACATTTGTCTATACTGCTTGGTTCATAATAGGCTCTCTATTATTCAAGGAGGGTATGATGTGCATACTACTATTACCACGTAGGGCAATATCTAGTAGGATATATTGGCTTTAAACTCACTAACAAGCAAGTAGCAGAGCATGCATTATCTCCAAACTTTCATTATCCCACAGAGAGTACGCTTAGGCTGGAGCTGGCTGGACTGGACTCAGCATGGCTAGTATCATAGTTAATAGTAACTTCACTCCAATAACATCACAAGGAGCATCCAAGTTATCTGTGCATTAGTGGAAACTGGCCAGGGAAGTAGCTTTGTCAGAAGGGGGCACCTCCAGACCTCAGCAGCTGGTATCAGCCTATTCTTGTTGAGATGACTCAGATATGCTGGGCCAGCACATTGCCTAGCCACTGGAATAGAGGAAAACTGAGCCTCAAAGGCCATTTAGTGACTTTCTTCACGTGCAATAATATTGCATGACTGAGGGAGAGAGAAAGGAAAGGGGATGACAAAAATGTGGTTATGAGGCTCCACCTGCTGGTGCTGGACTCTTAGTGGCAGATATTTTAAAAAGATGTATTTAGCATCGTTTCTTTCTCATTCCTTCCACTTTGCAGTGTTTGCTCATGTGAAATATGAAAAATAATTCTGTAGTGCAGTCATCCCTTGTTCTCCATGATATACTGCAAAGTTGCTGTTCTACAGATGAAGATCTTGAAATGGAATGGCTCTAAAATAGCTCCTTTGAAGGCCCTCAGATTTTCTTTGTTGTGTTAAGCCATTTTGATCTGCTTCTTCTGAAAATCAACGGTAATAAATAAATAATAAATTAATTTAATTCTAAAAAAGCTATGGGATAGGCACTATTATTTTTATCCATATTCCTAGATAAAGAAACTGGAACACAGAGATATATAACCAACTCATCTAGGATTATACAGCTAATAATCAGTGGTTGAGCTGAGATTTGAACCTGGAACATGAACTCCTGAACACTGTATTATATTACCTCAGAGCACTAAATGAGGCTCTGTGGTAACTCAAAATTATGATTTAATCCCTGCCTTCAGAAAGCTCACAGTTCGGTGGAAGGGGACAGATATTAAAACAAATAATTATAATTAATGCAATGTTAGAAATGTCCATTCACTTGTCCCCTTCCTATCTTAATGATGACTGACTCCTAAACCTTTTTAACCTCAGTTCCTTTCCTAGGAGCCACTTTATATTGTCACTTGCCAGTCAGACATTGCAACACTATATCTCACAATACCTTGAACATATTATATGCTAAATCTGACTCATTACCTCCTATACTGAGCAGCTCTTCCTGAACCTCCTCTTGACTTTCCAGTTTTGAAGTGGTAGCACTCATCTCTTAGTCACTCCGCCTCTAACTGGTTAATAAGTGATCTTTGATTCCTGTCTCCCTCATGTCTGGGGAGTCATTGAGGCCTCTCAATTCTGCCTGAACTTTTCTCTCACCCTTTCTCTTTCCCCTCTCCCCCTATTTCCCTTCTTTCTGTTGCCCCCAGCCTAGATCAGGCCAGTGTTTCTGATTAACAAGGTGGATTGTTTTCTTACCTCTCATCCCTCTGCTATGCTGTCAGCCAACCTGCCTGCCTCACTGGCCTTACCTCCTGGTATGTACCCCCTATGCTAGGAAGCTGGACTGCTGGCATTTTAATAGACTTGGCATTTGTCTTCTATACTAAAGATTAGTAATTAGAATTTTGACTGTTTATGATTTTATGTGAAATAGGATAAATAAGATATTATTTAACCCCCAAATTTATTTATTTGGTTGACTTTGAAGACTTTAAAGTCTGCAGAGAGTGGGACTGGAGGATCAGCAAACTCTCTCTGCTCTAAAAAAATTATGCCTACATCTTGGTGTCTTGACCAAACATGTCCATTTTGGTTTTAGCTTCTATTCTTTACTGCCTTACTGAATACCTTCCTTTTTATTTGATTCTATAGTATTCCTATCCTTCAGTACACGGCACAAATCTCCTGTTTTAAGGCCTTTCCAGCTTTTCCAGTTTACATTCATCTTTTTTTTTGTTTGTTTGTTTTTGAGATGGAGTCTCACTCTGTTGTCCAGGCTGGAGTGTAGTGGCATGATCTTGGCTCACTGCAGCCTCTGCCTCCCAGGTTCAAGTGATTCTCCTGCTTCAGCCTTCCAAGTAGCTGGAACTACAGGTGCCCACCACCACACCTGGCTAATTTTTTGTACTTTTAGTAGAGACAGAGTTTCACCATGGTGACCAGGCTGGTCTTGAACTCCTGCGCTCAAGTGATCTGCCTGCCTTGGCCTCCCAGATGTTACAGGTGGTAGTCACTGCTCCCAGCCCACATCCATCTTATTTTTGTCTCTAATTCATGTCACACCTAAAGACTGTACTATCAGCATTAAATTATGTAAAGATGTGTCATAGTCTTATTGTTTAGTGTTTGTTTTCCACAACTAATTTACAAACTTGTTGAAAGCATAAACTATGTACTTTATTACGGTTGCATGCTCCAGGGTGCTGAGACTGTGTGTATTCACTCATTTATTATTCATTTAGTCCTACCATCAAATATTTATTGAGCAACTACTATATGCCGGCATTCCTGCTCTCTTGGGATTTATATCATGATGGAGGAGTTACACTAACAGATGAATCATCACAAATTATGTTACATTTTGTGAACAAAATAAAAGACTACTGTGATAAAGTGTGATAAAGCATGATATTCGGTGCTGATTTGGATGGTATGATTATAGAGACCTCTTTGGGATTCTGTTATTTAAAAAATTATAGATATAAAATATATGACACATACAGTTTATAAAATAGTAAAACAAACACCTACACCTACCATGTAGCTGAAGAAATACCTTTGATGCTCCTATGTGTCACTTTCATGTTAATTTCCTTTCCTCTCTCCCACAGAAATAGCCTGTCTCCTGAATTTTGTGTTTATAATTTCCTTGCTTTTCTTTTAGCTCTGCTATGTATGTATTGCTAAATAATATATGGCTTGCTTTTTGATTTTGACCTTTATGTAAATGGAATCATACTGTATATTCTGCTAATTTTTTTGTGTTATTTCTACCCCCACCGCTCCCCTGCCTGCTACTTGCCTTGCTTTACATTATAGTTGTGAAATTTGTGTATGGCCCATTTTACTTAGGGCTTCATAAGTAAAGGATTCATCACCCGTGAGTAAAATAGCACACTTCATGGAGCTACCACATTGGAACGTTTTTTTAGAACCATCAGAGATATGCTATTAGATGTTCTTAGATACTCCTCCATTTTTTGTGTATCTGTTTGTTCTCAATTCTCTTAGTTGGTACAAGGTAAATGAAGCATTAAAAAAAATGATCACATAGAAATATTGATAAACTATGGAATGTATGAATAACATCATTATAATTGTTCCTTCAGGACTCTTGAAGTTGACATTTTTTACTGTTTATTTATTTATTTATTTATTTATTTATTTTTTACAGTTTGCTATGGACAGCAACCATCAAAGTAATTACAAACTCAGTAAAACTGAGAAGAAGTTCTTAAGGAAACAGATTAAAGCCAGGCATACTTTGCTGAGACATGAAGGCATTGAGACAGTATCCTATGCCACTCAGGTGACCTAAAACTATTTTTATTATTTGAATGTAAATGTATTGACATGTTAATGTATTATATTAATATTTGCTAATAATTGCCTAAGGCTGTAATTGTTACATCCATATTAGATGTACATATGATAGGACCTGCTAACTTTCTGGGTCCATAGCCTATAGTTTGCATTTCTATTTGTTTTGTTGTTTGAACTAGAAGAGGTTGTGGTTATATATTAATAATAATACTGTACACGTTCTCAGTTTCCTAAGCATGCTGATACTCATTATTATATTTAATTCCCTAGAAGTCCTTATGAGATAAGTAAGAAAACTAAAGTTCTGAGAGGTTATGATATATCTCCATTGATATAAGCTAGTAAGGAGCTAATAGAACTTAAAGCTAGATCTTCCGTATCCTACTACAGCTCTCGTTCTTCTCTTCCCAACCTTACCTGTTTTATAAAGTATTTTGATTATGTACTATTAAACATTTTTATTTTATTAGACCTTATTGACAAAGTCTTTTCATTATCTGTTGACGATAATTAAATGAGATGATAAATGTGAGGATCGTGAGATTTCCTGGGTTATGAATTAGGAGAACTCAGTTTAACTCTTAGCTTTTCTGGACATGAGCAGTAGTATCCTCTGACGTCGGCTTTCTTCGTTTTTAAGCAGGGCATAGTATTGCGTACCTTTTTAACCCCGTTAGATTGTTAGATTCTAGAGAATCTAGTTGTACTTACTGGACATTAAACTACTACATGAATATAAGGAGTTCTTATCTTTTTGGCTCATAAAGTTATAGAATAAAAGTAGAAAGTAAGCTTTAGATATCATTTAATTGAGGGGCCGACATACAATTGAGAAGGTGAAGCTGGGATTAAAACTTAGGCCTCTTGACTCTCAGACCAATACTCTTGCCTTATGCTTACCATGCTGTCTTCTGTACATCATAGCTTAAGAATGAGCAGTCTGTTGAGGCACATTTGAATTTAGGAGGCAAAAGGCCCATACTTGGAATTAAATATTAATGTCTTCAGAGAATTTAAGCTACATTCCTATAGCAAGGATTAACTAGAAAATAGATAATTAGAATTAAGATGTTTACATACATACACTTTACTGTTTCAGTCAAGAGCCACTGAGGCTGTGAGACATTCAGAAGATTAAACTGACATACACTGCTCTTATCTCTTTCTGAGAGTGACTTGTGTTCCTTTCCTTACAGGGTTCATGAAGAGAAGTAGCAAGAAAAAAAAAATAGACTCCATTTCTTTGACCCCTTTGAAGCTTGTTTCTGGTTGGGTCTGCCTTTTCTTTAGGATTTCTAGAAGCTTCGATGTCCTTCATGGCTTCCAAAGTAGCATTTTATTAGGCTTTCTTTTTTCTCCATATTCTTAAAGGGAAATAATAAAATTGTAGATGGACCGCTAATTATATTTTGTCTTTCCAGGGGAGAGCAAGTATTGTTCTAATGATATTGTATTAGTCTATTCTCATGCTTGCTGATAAAGACATACCCGAACTGGGTATGTTACATGTGGCTGAGGAGGCCTCACAATCATGGCAGAAGGTGAAAGGCCTGGCTTACATGGCAGCAGGCAAGAGAGAATGAGAGCCGAATGAAAGGGGAAACCCCTTATAAAATCGTCAGATCTCGTGAGACTTATTCACTACCACGAGAACGTTATGGGGGAAATGGCCCCCATGATTCAATTATTTCTCACCGAGGCCCTCCCACAAAATGTGGGAATTATGGGAGCTAAAATTCAAGATGAGATTTGGGTGGGGGCACAGCCAAACCATATCAGATGTATTATAATTATAGGCTCCTTTGTACAAATTCATAGCATTATAGATTCTTCTAGAGCAGTGAACCTCAAATTATCAGGACCAAACATAACTTAAAAAAATTCACATTCTCTACTTCGTACCATACTCCCTCTTATTTAGAAAATTGCTTGGATGAACACTTATAAATAAAATAATGGTTCCATTTAATTATATTTAACTATTACATTTAATTACATTAATTATGTTACATTTAGTTATGACATTTAATTATATGTGTCTCATATTTAATGGGAAATAAGCTCTCGTCTTCTACTGCACTTGTTTTTGTGTGGTTTACCTTTCGAGTTGCCCACAAAACACTCGGATGGCATCTTTGAGGACTTCTTGTATTCCTGAAGTCATACTTTATCATCTTCCATTCCTAGATGGGGTAGTGGACCCTCAACACCAATGAAACCTTTGTTCTTCCATAGATTTAGGAATATGGAAATGTTATTGCAACTATCACCACATATAACCAAGTTATTTTGGTATTTTAATTAATAAACCTCATTAAGTGAGGTCCAGGGCAAGCCATCTGAGACTCTGTTTTACTCCATATCATATAGTATTGTATTAGTGGGCTTGTTTATTATGTGTATTGTATATGCTTGCATACATACAAAGTACTGACTGTCCCATGACAAAACAGTTTTACTTTCCTTATTATCCAATTTCATAGTAATTCTTTTATATCCTTTTCAAACAAAGTTCTAGGTATTCTTATTTTGTGTAATAAACCAATACGCTATGTACTATCATAAATAAATGTACTATCATAAATGAGCTTTATATACTATCTTTTAGGCTTAATAAATAAATGTACTATACATAAATAAATGTACTACATAAATGAGCTTTATATATGATAGTATATTATGTACTATCATAAATGAGCTTAGTATAAATTAGGGGTTGGCAAACTACTGTCCTTAGACCAAATCAGGCTCGTGAGCAAAATAATGAGTTTTACATTCTTAAAGTGTTGTTAAAACATAATACTAAGACTGTCTGACAGAAACTTTTATGGCCTGCCAAGCCTAAAATATTTACTATCTACCTCTTCTCAGAAAAACTTCATCAACACCTGGTATAAATGAAGAAATTGATGAGAGTAGGCCATCCATGGCTTGCTTTTGTTATATTGAAATGTTTTTAGAAGTCATAGAGCATACATTAAAAATATTTACACTGTATAGGATGGTTAAGTATAGAGACTATATGGGTGCTAGGCCGTGAACATCAGAATAAGAATAAGAGACTCCCCCTTCATCCCTGCAAAATTTCCTTGAATAAAGTTTAGTGCAGGACTATGCAAATAGCGGAAAGTAATCGTGAAACTTACAAAGGAAAAAGTTTTCATTGTGAATTGACTGAATTACTTAGACTGAATTTCCTTAGAGGAAAATTTTTTCCTAAATATGTTCAATAGAACCTATAATTGGTTTTTCTTTGAGCTAATAGTACCTTTACTTTTAATTTTTAGTGAACATTGTATAATGGTTACATTAAAAGTATCGATCCTGGAAATGGACAGAAATAGGTTTAAACCCACCCCTAATCACCAACTTAACCTCATTTGTCAGATCTTCTTCTATGAAATAGGGCTGATATTACCCAAATAAATTCAATATGTTGTGAAGATTGTTAATGAGGATTAAATAGATAAAAGCATATAGAACAGTCTTGCAAAAAAGCAAGTATTATGTAACTGTGCTTTTTCCTCTACTCCTTCTCTTTCATTATGTTAAATTTATATTTCTGAATAGTCATGTTTTAATTTGCATTTATGGTCATTTAGAAATGAATATTTTGTGAAATTGGCTATTTAAAAATCAATATTATTTACAATATAGGAGTCCTTTTTATTCCCCAAGTTTTTAGTAAATTGGTTTACATACTTTGTATGAAATCAGCAAACCAAACAACCACTACAAGGTAACCTTTTTTTTTTGTCTTAATTACATCTTTGTAGTAATCTTATTTAAAAAATAATCTTATTTTAAAATAAATGGGTTGATATCAGTTGCTCATGTTACTTTCTTTCTTTTTGTTTGTTTGTTTTTTAAGAGCCTGGTTGTTGCCAATGGTGGTTTGGGTAATGGTGTGAGTAGGAACCAGCTGCTCCCGGTTTTAGAGAAATGTGGACTGGTGGATGCTCTCTTAATGCCACCTAACAAACCCTACTCATTTGCCAGATACAAAACTACGGAAGAATCTAAGAGAGCCTATGTTACCCTCAATGGAAAAGAAGTAGTGGATGATTTAGGACAAAAGATCATTCTGTATTTGAATTTTGTGGAAAAAGGTATTATCATACAGTTATCTTTTAAAAAATGATTCTTTTGTGTGTTTTCTTTTCATAGACTTAAGTTGGGAGGTTCAGTTACTATGAAACAAAATGAGGACGCAGGTTAGCAGCCCCTTTTACTTTAACAAACATTCTTTAAGCACCTATTTGTGCCAGGGATGGGACAAGTAGTTGACAGTACAGAGGTGAATAAGATACAACCTGCCTTTGTGGAGCTGGTCCCACCAATCAACAATATATTTATTAGGCACATGGCTTATTTTGGAACCCTTCTGCCTAATTGTGTTTTTCAAAGTTTAATAATGAGGGTTTGGATTACCAGTTTATTTCACCTGTCTACCCAGGAGCTTTGAATTAATCACTTAAGAATGAATTATGGTCCAAATGATCATGTACCAATCTTCATATTTATAGTAGGGCACCTGTAGCTACCAAAGATTCCTAAAACTTTATGGTGGTGCTGTCCAATAGAACTTTCTGTGATGGTAGAAATGTTCCTGTCTGTGCTGTTCAGTACAATAGCCACTGGATAGTCTGATTGAGGAACTGAATAATTTAGTTAAATAAGCACAGCTTTATATACTGGTGTACAGAATTGTACAGGAATTATTACTTCTGACCCATGGAAATGAGGTGTATTGAGATGAACTTTGATTTAGACATCTAATCATATATTCATTTGCCACCTATTTAGGCAATAAAAGAGCCCTGTTTTAGATATCCTAGGAGTGGGTAGGTGACTGCAATCTGCTCAGATTTATGTTTTTGTAAAATTAGATCCAAAGGAAAACTTTTACAGACTCTTAAAGATTTATTTTAGAAACCGTATTTCTCAGTGCTCATATGCATTTAATTTTGAATCTGACTTAATCTTTACACATTTTGGAAACTAGATTATCCTCATATTTTTACATGTTTCTGGTCAGTGTTTGAAAACTGAATGGCTGAGGAGTAAGTTTTTTTTTTTTTTTTTTCGGGACGGAGTCTTGCTCAGTCGCCCAGGCTGGAGTGCGGTGGCTCGATCTCAGCTCACTGCAAGCTCCGCCTCCCGGGTTCACGCCATTCTCCTGCCTTAGCCTCCTGAGTAGCTGGGACTACGGGTGCCCGCCACCACGCCCGGATAATTTTTTTTGTATTTTTAGTAGAGACGGGGTTTCACCGTGTTAGCCAGGATGGTCTCAATCTCCTGACCTCGTGATCCCCTCGTCTCGGCCTCCCATAGTGCTGGGATTACAGGCGTGAGCCACCGCGCCCGGCCAAGGAGTAAGTTTTAATCAGAAAATAGTCATTGGGTTTACCCCTGTCCCCCATGGTGAATACTCAATAAGAAATTACACAAAGTAAGTTTTGGAGTGTTATTTATTTGAAATTCTTCATTAGATCCATATGTACTTTTAAGACTGTGGCAATCACATTTACAACCTTGAAAGTCATTTTTAACTGAGAATAGAATTATGTCACAAATAGTTTATGCTTGTTTAGATATCTGCTACCAGGCAGCACTGAATAACAAATAGAAGATATATTTTTAATTCTTTTTAAAAAAACATATTTCAGAAACTAAATCCAAATTACTTAACACTGTAAATTACTTGTCTTTAAGGAATTCTTTCCAAAGTTTTCCTTATGTGATTTGAATAAATAATGTCTGGCACATAGTAGGCAATGGTATGTATTTAGCAAATGATTTACTATTCACGTTAAGTGATTTACTATTCATGCACTTTTAATATGTTGTGTGCCTTTCAGCAATCTTATTTCCGAAAATGAGGATTTGAAGTTTTGTGAATTGATAAAGAGTTATTGGGCAGAATTATTTGTATATAGGAACTTTAAGTTTTGCATGTGACTATTTTAATTTGGTTTCCCATAGCACAATGGAAGGAGTTGAGGTCTCAAGCCTTACCACCAGGACTCATGGTAGTAGAAGAAATAATTTCTTCTGAGGAGGAGAAAATGCTTTTGGAAAGTGTGGATTGGACCGAAGATACAGACAATCAAAACTGTAAGTAAAGCTTTCAAAATCTGATATTTAAAAGTTTCTGTAAAACTCTTCTTCCTTTCCTCTGTCTTTCATGGTTTATTAATATTTCCTCAAAATTACTGAAACTAGCCTGGATCCAATGTTAGGCAAGTCATACCAACAATTCTTAGGAACATTAATAATAAATAAGATTTATATAGCTATCAAATTTTAACTCCAAACTGATTAATATTTATTATCCAACATTTATATGGCTTTTATAAGCCTTTTCACTTATTTTATTCATTCCTTCCCACCTTAAGGCAAGTTTCCCTTGAGGAATTAGCAGTTCAGTACCATACTGTTATAATATAGTGGGAGCTTCCTGGAAATATTTGCAAATTGGAGTTTTTCTGACTCTTTCCAGCTCATTGGCAGTGTTGTGAATGGTAGTGTACATGTTTAGTTTTCAGATTGATTGGGTGGAACTCTTGAAGAGTTTGTTACAATTTTAGACTTGAAATAAGAAATATAAGGCAAAATGGTTAATTTTGTTAAAGACTATAATTTACCAATTAGCAGAAGTTGCCGTTACTAAACTAATCCTTACTCAAAAAGTTGACTGGAATATGGAAAGGAATATAATTCTTTTCCTTTTTAATTGTTTACTTTGTTCTCTTCACACAGCTCAAAAATCCTTAAAACACAGAAGAGTAAAGCATTTTGGTTATGAGTTCCACTATGAGAACAACAATGTAGATAAAGATAAACCATTACCTGGAGGTAAGTAATTGCTAATACATAATAAATTCTGCCTCAAAAAATTTAATATAGTAGTAGAATATTATAGTTGGGGGATTATGTTTCATTTGTCATTTGTAGATAAACTTTTCAAACTGTTGATTTAAAACACTAGATAAATTGTATAGTTTTGTTGTAAAAAAATTTCAAACTGCATAGAGCTGAAGTTCATCATTATTATCCTTATTCCCATACTGCTTCTCAGAAGTACATACTATTAACAGTTTAGTATATACTTTTCCAGTCCTTTAAAAAATGAGTTTACATTAAAATATGTACACCAATAAAAGTACCCAGTTGTTAATAAATGTAGTATTGTATGGTATTGCATATATTATATATTCCATATATTACATGTATCCACCCAACTTGTTTTTTTCCCTCTACTATATGTCTTGGAAATCTTATACAGATTTTCATTTTACTAAATGATCCATAATAGCTTATTCAAATAGTTCCCTATTGATAGCTATTTAGGTTGTTTCTGGTTTTTAGCTTTCATAAATAATGCTGCTGTGAATATCTTCGTACATGCCTCTTTATGCACTGTGCAAGAGTTTCTCAAGGGAGACTACTAAGAAGTAGAATTGTCATGTTGAAGTTTATGTTCACTAAAAAAATGTTAATCGATCAAAAAATTAGCCGGATGTGGTGGCGGGCGCCTATAGTCCCAGCTGCTCGGGAGGCTGAGGCAGGAGAATGGCGTGAACCCGAGAGGCGGAGCTTGCAGTGAGCCGAGATCGTGGCACGGCACGCAAGCCTGGGCGACAGAGCGAGACTCTGACTCAAAAAAAAAAAAAAAAATTGTTAATCGATACTGGCAAATCGCCTCCTGAAACAGCTGTACCAGCATGTTCTCACCAAATGTGTACCCATTTCCCCCTGCCCCAACAACGTGTGTTGTAAAGCTTTTAAATTTATAATTTCTTGATTACTGATAAGGTTGGTCATTTGTATTTCCTTTCCTATGAATTCCTTTTTATATTCTTTGCCAGTTTTTTTCCAAGGAAGTGTCTAATTGATTAAGAATTTACTGTATATTCTGGCTTTTAATCCTTTGATGTAATTGATGTAATGCTTTGTTGGAGTTAAATTTATCTTTATTTTAATGACTTTGGTCTGTCTTAATGCTTTTCTTCCATCATGAAACAACATTTATGACTCTAGTAAAAGTAGGTTAGTTCCACTTTGCAAGGTGTGTTTTTTTAAGGGAAATAATTTAAAATAATTAAATTTAAGATAAATGGTATAATTTAAAATAACAAAAAAAGTGGACAATTTCAATATATGGTGTATTTTTATAATTTTATTGCTGTTTTATAAAATACCAAAATTGTTGTGGGAATTGTTCTTTTAAACTTTTTATCTGAAAAAAAATCAAATAACTTTAAAAGATTCTTAAATTTTTTTTATTTTTTAATTTTGTTTTGCTTGTGGGTTTATTATATTAATGGACCTGGCTGCTAAATTAAAAGCTCAGTGATTTTTATCACAGTGACTTTTAAAATTCTTGAGTAAAACAAGCAAAGTAACTATTTTAATGTTTTATCTTTATGATTACTAACTTTAGGTCTTCCTGACATTTGTGACAGCTTTTTGGAGAAATGGTTGAGGGAAGGTTACATTAAACATAAACCTGATCAAATGACCATAAATCAGTATGAACCTGGGCAAGGTGAGTATATCTTGTTTAAACATTTTAGTTACATATTTTGGAACTGAGTAGATGATGTAATTCTCTAAGAGCAAATATATTATTATTATTATTACTATTTTTTTTTTTTGAGATGGAGTTTTGCTCTTGTTGCTCATGCTGGAGTGCAGTGGTGCGGTCTTGGCTCACTGCAACCTCTGCCTCCAGGGTTCAAGTGGTTCTCTTGCCTCAGCTTCCCAAGTAGCTGGGATTACAGGTGCCCACCAACACGCCCAGCTAATTTTTGTATTTTTGTAGAGATGGGGTTTCACCATGTTGGCCAGGCTAGTCTCAAACTCTTGACCTCAGGTGATCCACTCGCTTCGGCCTCCCAAAGTGCTGGGATTACAGGCGTGAGCCACTGCTCGCAGCCGAGCAAATATATTATTTTTAAGCTCAAATTAAGTCTCAGATTACCTTGCTTATGTTTGTTACTTGTGTTGACTTCAATCCTTGCAAATCTACACTTTAATCCCTTGAGGAACTTGCATTTCAAAGTGTAAACACACTGACACAAATCAGTTTGTGATATTTTTTGTTTCCCTTTCAACATTTCCTTTAGAGAGGGAAGACATCGGTCTGAAAAACATAGGAGACGTGTGAAATAAAAAACAGGAGACGTGTAATGGAAGAAACCAAATAATTTATAGATAGACAAAGGTTACTTGGTTGGATGATCTTTCTCTTCCTAGTTATTGATTTCTTATACTTGTTAGCAGCATCTTCATCTGATATTTATAGTAATCAAATGATTTTTAAGGATTTTATTTTTTACTTTTTTTGGCTTAAACAACAGAAATTTGTTTTCACAGTGTAGAGACTGGAAGTTCAAGATCAAGGTGCCGGTTGATTGGGTTCCTGGTGAGGGCTCCCCTCCTGGCTTGTCATCGGCCACCTTCTCTCAATGTCCTTACATGTCCTTTTCTCTGTGTGTGCATGTGCATGGAGAGAGAGCTTCCGCTTGGAAGATTAGGACCCCACCCACACTTAAGACCTCTTTAATTTTAAGAGTTTTATTAACGGCAGGAGTTACGGAGTTTTGTTTTCTTTTCTACATTTATTACAATGAAAACTGATGGCTTTAGATTTGTAGCCAAGTGGATTTGTGACTACTGCACCTCTGAATTAGAGAGACATACTGACCTTGTCCCTGGCACAGCAAGACAACTGGAGCTGAAGCAGAGGCCGCTCCTGTAGAGCACAGAGACTGGGGCCACTCTTAAAGACGCAGAGGCCCATAGGATGAAATGGGAAGGAGCATGTGTTAGCTTCTCCAAACCGGCGGGCTCTGAAAATGAGAGGGAGGGGCTGAGCCAAGTGAGCTTGACACCAGATTAACCAGTCAGCCGGGGCATTTCTTCTTTACCTTTCTTACCTAGCTGTCTTTCCCTTGGCTTATAAGCTCTTTAAGGACAGGGACCCTCTTACTGGCTTTGTATACCCTCACTGTGTAGCAACATTTCTTTTACTTAAGAGGTACGCAATTAATGTAAATTGACAGGTCGGTGGAGAAGTCCATATCGTAATTATTGATATGCCTAGTCTTTATACCTGGTTATTGCTTTTGTTCTGCAAGTACTTGGGAAACCAGTGTTTGAGGGTAAAAATGACTTTTGTATTTGTCTTTCACATTTTCCTCTTGGGCTGGAATTGAGTTAAGTGTCCTAGTTAATCAGTGATTCCTGAGCCTTGATTTTAGATCAAACCCCAATGGCACTTTAACTTGAAGTTAAGATATTTTTAGTTTATATTTGTTTTAATATATTTTAGTCACATTCACCCTAAATGTTTCCTTTTAACCAAAATTATAGTACTTTCTTGATTACCAAGCAATATTGTCACCATAATAGCATAAGGCTATATTTATAGCCATCTTAAATCTACTAAAAGGAAAAATGAAGTGACGTGTTGTCCTGTTTTCCATCTCAGGAATTCCCGCTCATATTGACACACATTCTGCTTTTGAGGATGAGATCGTTTCTCTCAGTTTGGGGTCAGAGGTAAATGCTCATTTTTATTAGCTGTCATCATATATCTTACCTTGTACAATGCCCTTTTCAAAGATCATCTACATTCTTAATGAATTAGGATTTTAAAATGAAAAATAAGAGCACCATTAGCACTTTGGTTTCTTTTGAATGTCTTCTTTTAAATGTCGAAATTTCTTTCTGTCACCTCATCAGATGCCAGGAAAATAGCTTGAAATTTAATTTTTTACAGGAAACTTTCAGCAGTTAAATAAGATTTAGACTTTCCTTGGTGCAATGTGGCCCATTTTTGACCTACTGGTGCAGCATTGCCATCTAGTGGCAAAAGATACTATCTTCATGCCATAGAAAAAGGAAACCAATTAAAATGTGTATTCCGAGTTTTGGTGAACTTTTTCCATACATTACCTGATTCAATCCCTTCAAAAACTCTGAGCAGTAGACGGTAATATCTTCATTTTTATAGATGAAGAATAAGAGGTTCATGTTTATTCATTGGTTTGTTTCTGAAGCTGCACTTTGCTTGAGCCACTAAAAGAAAATATTACATGTGAAGTAATCCACGCAACCTACAGGCAGATTTTTGGATAGAAATCAGAATTTTAGGTTCGGTGTGGTGGCTCATGCCTGTAATCCCAGCACTTTGGGAGGCTGAGACGAGCGAATCACGAGGTCAGGAGATTGAGACCATCGTTGCTAACACGGTGAAACCCCGTCTCTACTAAAAATTAAAAAAAATTAGCTGGGTGTAGTGGTGTGCGCTTCTAGTCCTAGCTACTCAGGAGGCTGAGGCAGGAGAATCACTTGAACCTGGGAGTCGGAGGTTGCAGTGAGCTGAGACTGCGCCACTGCACTCCAACCTGGGCAACAGAGTGAGACTCTGACTCAAAAAAAAAATGAAAATCAGAGTTTTAAATCTACCAGAGTCCTTAAAACATGAGGTCATCTAATCTAACTAGAGGCTGTATCAAATTCGGATCTTGTTCCTGGAGGCAAAAACTATTCATTTTTGTTTTCCTGTATTTGTATAGTTTCCATCATTAGATCTTCAGTGTTTTGGCCTTTTAACCTTTCCCGAGCTTGTGTAGTCATGTTGATACTGTGACTTGACAATTAGTGGTGTTTGATATGACAAAACCATCTTATTAACTGTGTGTGTAGATTCTTAATACAGGTGCTTTAAAAAATAATGAGATCGGGGAGGAAAAAGCACTCTTCTCTCTCTGGTTTCTTTTTTTGTTTTTACCCCCTATCCTTGCTTCTAGCTTTAGGGACCAGTAAAGGACATCTTCATGTTTTCCTTCCGACTGTGTAGCCAACTGAGAAATGAGACAAAAGATAATTGGAGATTAGTGTGTTAACTTTACTACTGAGAAAACTAATGGCAGAACATAACTTTAGATCTGTAGCCAAGTGAACTTGTTAATACTACACCTCTGAATTAAGGAGGCATACTGACCTCGTCACTGGCATAGCTGGACAACTGGAGACCTTCCCCATGGAGGCAGAGGCTGTTCCTATAACAGGACACAAAGGAGCTCCTCTAACAGGATATGTGTTAGCTCATGTCCTGTGTTAGCTATAACCAGCTGGCCCTGAAAACGAGAGGAAAGGGCTGAGCCACGTGAGCTTGGCTTCAGGGTAACCAATAAGCAAAGGCATTCCCTGGAGAGTTGTCATTGAAGGGGTGGGAAAAAACTAGGAGTGTTTCTACTTTTTATTCCTAGGGAAGTTCCCTCCCTTCCCAGGGAGATGTGACAAATGGGGACTCAATATCCCCCCCAATGCCCTAGAAGATCATTGCACAGTTTTTAATTAGAAATTGTGGAGAAGGGAAAATTTGCCCTTTAGTTGAACTGAAAATCTGCTGCATTCATTATCTCTATTTGGTGTCTCTGGAGGCATATAATTTTCAGCTGCCAATTTGAATGACTTTTGATTAAAGCCGTCTTTGTAATGGCTGGAAAGTGTGCATAAGTTATGACAGGAACAGTAGATTTTCTTTTAAAAGATACCTTTGAGGGTAAGTGAATCATTGTAATTTTGAAAAAAAAGCTTATTTTTATGATTACTTGAACGTATTCTTCTTAAAACTCTTATAATTTTAAGTTTATAATGTTTGTTTCAGCTTGTAATACTATTTAAAACAGTCTACTAAATTGGGGCCTTTATTTCATCTATAAAATGGGATTAATAATATTTCTTTCCTGGCTGAAGGATTGTGATAGAAATGAAATGAGGTAATGTATGTGAAAGTGCTCTTCAAACTCAGAGCAGTTCATGCATGTAAAGGCTGCTTGAGGTGTATCTGCTCTAGGGCTCCTTACTTAAAGCCTTCACTTCTGTAACAGGAGGAAGCTCATGTTCCCATGGCCTAGAAGTAGGATTTCAAGTGGTCATGAGAGAGATGACTTTCCACTCTTGCAACTTGTTCCCTTCTGTTTTATTTATTGATTGATGCTGTGTAATTACTCGAATTTTCTCCTAGCACCTTGCTCCACACCTAGAATCTGAGTACTATACCTTCGGCCCTATTTCTTTATTTTCTCATGTTTAGCATCCTCAGTTGTTTTAAGAACTTTCCTGTAATGCCTATCGTAGCTTCCATTTCATTGTAATAATTTTGTCAGTGGCATTATTGTTTTGTTTTTTTGTAATGCTTTTTTTTGTTTTGTTTGACTTAAATATAACATCAAAGACTCAGCAAAAGTCATTGACGTTATATTTAATTCTTTACTTTCTCTCTTTCCCAGGAAATTTCTAAGATCTCTTTCAACTCTTAAATGTTCCAACTCATGGTGTTCCCATGAGGTATTCTTAACTTTAATATAAATCTTAAATGCTTTATTACTTAAATGCTTTATATTTATGACTACTGGAGCATATTCTTAAAATTCTTATAGTATGTCTAAAAATAGTGTTCATTTTATATTAAGCAAAAATAGTCTTGATTTTTTTCAAACATATTAATTTTCCCTCTACAACTAAGTTGTGATTTTCTTTAAGGCTTTTGTACCTTTGAAATATGTGTGATATATGTATAAGTGAGGATGATTTTAGCTGCAAATAATAACAGAAAACCCAAATAAAAATGATTACGCAGCAAAACAAGTTAATTTCTCATATAACAAGATGTCTCAAGGAAGGCTGGTTCCAAAAGTTTCAACTTGTTGGCCCAGGTCAGTGATTTCATCAAGGAACCAACCAGTTTCTTTCCATCTCAAATACTAAGTGCTCCCCTAAGGATGAGCTTAGGGAAATATCCAAGGAGTAGGCTGCATCAGGATATATGACAATAACGTAAACCTGTGAAGTCTACTAGGCTTTTGTTTTTAGGTAATCCCTCACTGATAAATTTGTCCTGCCGTAAATTGCAGCCTGCCTTTGCTGGCCAGGCATGTTTTGAGAGATGCCCTTGCTATAACCTTTTATGAAAATAAACTAGTAATGTTGTTGCGTAGACACTCAGTATCTGACATCCTCAATTGTTTTAAGAACTTTCCTGTAATGCCTATCGTAGCTTCCATGTCACTGTAATAATTTTGTCAGTGGCATTATTGTTTTGGTTTTTTGTAATGCTTTTTTTGTTTTGTTTGACCTAAATATAACGTCAAAGACTCAGCTAAAGTCACTGACGTCATATTTAATTCTTTACTTTTCTCTCTTTCCCAGGAAATTTCTAAAATCTCTTTCAACTCACCAAGTACCATAAGAGTTGGTCAACTGACAATGAAAATAACTACTTAATGTGCATCTCCCTAAAACCAGTACCTAACTTCTATTATAAATAAGAAGGAGAACTTTTGATTAGGACTCAACTGGGAAATGAAACTAAAATTTATGAAGATGTTTTTAGAGAAAAATTTTATTTAACAATTTTTAGATTATATTACAACTATGTACTAATTTTTTAGAACAAAGAATGAGTCACATGAACTTTATTTTTGGTATTGTTTTTCTGATAAAATATGATAGCATGATAAAAATTCCTTTATTTGACTTTTATAGCTTGATTATAAAGAGTGCATCATTGTTGTGTTGTTTGCATTATTTTTCTCTTCGTTGTGCAAGTCCTGACTCTCCCAGATTTTCAAATGTTTAATGGATTTGCATGTGATTTAAATGGCTCTCTGACATCCCTTTTATCAACTTTGGAAAGTCCCTCTTTTGTAAGAATTGCAATTTCAATTAGTTTTGTATTTGAATTACACTGGCTAATATTTATATAATCAGCATTCACTGAAAGACTGACCAAAGGGATTAACATAATGGGCAGAGATAGCTGCTGATATTGAAGAGAGAGAGAGAGATTTGGGCAAGTACTAATTTTATGGAAGTCTGTTTATCAGTAAATATTTCTTATTGTGATGACTTTTGCAACTCGGTGGATGGGGATAGTTGGATAGTTGGGTAGTAAAGACCCCATCTGCTGAATGTATGCCATAGAGGGTCACATCTTTCAAGTATATTTCCTGCTCTCTTTCCAGGCTCTTGCTTTCAGCAAATACCTATTGAGTCCTGCCTGATCTCCTGTGATAGGGTACTGAGTAAAAATTATTTATGCAGTATCTTGAAATACCTAGCTGAATGGGTTTTTTTAGTCATTGTTTTTTGTTTTGTATTCTCAGTCTGGTCAATCAGAATGACTCACAGGGTGCGTCTGTTCTAAGAGTTTCTTGTTTTAATGGACAAATGTTTCATTATTTTCAGATCTTTAGCACAAACTGGAAAAAACACCCAGACATTTTCTTTATACCACTTAAAACAACAATACAGTCTGGACCGCAGACATACTGGCTTCATCTCCAACCTCAAATTCAGCCCTCAATATTTGCCTGTATAAGCAATGTTTACAGCCTCAGAAGCCAAACAATCTCTTCTTTTAGTTTTTATCTTGATTCCAGGCCCCACACTTTATTCTTATCTGAGAGTCCTTGGAATATTTACATTTCCTGAAGTTCTGAAAAATGGATTGTCTCTGCTGTGTAGCACCTCACTCCTTTCTCTCATTC